CTAGGGAATGAAGAAGCTTTCATAACCCTCCTTGAAAGCTTTTTTTGATAGTTATATGTAAGGAGTGCTGTAGAATTGATTATCTTGTGAAAATGCATCTAGAAATTATGCAGAAACCAGAAAATCAAGATAGCAATATTCCTTTTTAAATTATAAGATGATTTAATTATAAATAAGAAATAATTAAGTCAATCTGAAACCCATTGTTTAAAGTAATAGCATTTTGTGTTTAAAATACATAATTTGTAAACCCAAGTTATCTGGTTCTAATAAAAATGTATCTCCTCAAGAAAGAAAAGTCTCTGTTTAGGATCCTAAGCAAAAAACTCATGTTCACACAGAAACCAAAAAAATAGTTGAGGTCTCTTAAATTTCCTGTACTCAGTCCTACCGTTTTTTTGCTGATGCTATTATCAGTTGTTTTTTTAAAAATACATATGGCACCCACAGACAGAAGGAAAGACTCTCTCTCCAAGTTGGAGTCTATGGAAGCTTAGCCCGGTTGCTTTGGAGCCTGTGCTGGTGAGAAAAGGTAACAGGCTCATTCTCACTCACCAAATTAGTTATAGCTCTCGGTGCTTTCCTCCTGTGTGCCACCCCTGCCTGGCCCCATCCCACAAGTGCCCTCTATTACACAGGGCTGCCACACTGGGGAGCAGAGAGATGGGGACCAATCCATCACACTACTGAATAAGCAGCCACGGAGCAGGTCCAGAGCTTGCAGTGTCATTAACACCCTCTCTGCTCTAGCAGGACGATATATTAAACACCGTGAGGATGACAGGGATGGAGAGAGAAGAAACCCTAGTTGGTCAACATAAATGAATTTTCTAGATAACAGAAACATATTCCTTTAAGTGTCAAAACATTTAAAGAATGTTAATAATTTTTGTGTAGAAATTTCCCTGAATAATTTCCTTGCCTTCATAGTTTAAAGGAGCGTCCTTAACACTGCTGATCTAGTATTGATTAAAAGAACATCTTCAAGACTGGCCCATGTATTCAGCATTATCTCAGGTTATGGGCTCCATTAAAATCCTGACAAGCGAATACACGCTAAGGAGGACGGCTAGGATGGTAAAAGGATCTAAAACCAAAGTCAAGTGGGCCCTTATTAATGCTTGGCAATCTGATTCTACTTTCCTTGTCCGGTTGCCTCTTCTTTCAGGTCAGGAGTTGAGAAACCACAGCCTACTGCCTGTTTTTGTAAATAAAGTGTTATTGGAACACAGCCATGCTCATTCATTTACATACCGTCTCTTGCCGCTTTTATGCTAAAACGGGACACTTGGGTAGTTGCACCAAAGACCACACGCCCCACTGAGCCTAGAATATTTACACTCTGGCCCTTTACAAAAAAAAGTTTGCCAACCCTTGGAACTGAAATGACCATTACATGCCTTCTTTTCTTATACTTCCAGGATCTTCTCACAGTCCTTACTCTCAGCTAATCACCTGACTTCTTATTTCTGAAATAGAGGCCTTCAGAAAAGAATTTCCTCATTCCCAGCACCAGATATGCTAACCTACTGGCATGTTCCCCCCGTACTCCACCTCCCCTCCTATTACAGTGAGTGAAATACTCATATTCATGTTTCTGAGAGTAGGTCTTTATGCTCTTTCCTTCTCAAGGACATTTCTCCTAAAAATGCCCTCTGTCTTGCCCACATCATCAAATTTCCCTCTACACTGTATCATTTCTAATAAAGATAAATGTGCTGGAATATCCCTCACCCTAAACAAGCAAGCAAAGCCCCCTGCAACATCACTCTTTAACTAGTGCCCCATTTCTTTTTTAAAAAATTATTTATTTATTTAGGCTCTGCTGGGTCTTAGTTGCGGCACGCGGGATCTCTTTTTGTTTTAGTTGCGGCAGGTGGTCTTCTTAGTTGCAGCATGCGAACTCTTAGTTGCGGCATACATGTGGGAGTTCCCAGACTAGGGATGGAACCCGGGCCCCCTGCATTGGGAGCGAGGAGTCTTAACCGCTGGACCACCAGGGAAGTCCTAGTGCCCCATTTCTTGAAGTAAAACTCCTCTAAAGAGTTGTCTTTCATTCTCTGTTCAAACCACGTGAATAAGGCTTTTTTCCCCCCTACCACTTTTATTCTCAAAAAAAAAAAAAAAGTTACTTTCAGGGCTTCCCTGGTGGCGCAGTGGTTGAGAGTCCGCCTGCCGATGCAGGGGACATGGGTTCGTGCTCCGGTCTGGGAAGATCCCACATGCCGCGGAGCGGCTGGGCCCGTGAGCCATGGCCGCTGAGCCTGCGTGTCCGGAACCTGTGCTCCGCAACGGGAGAGGCCACAGCAGTCAGAGGCCCGCGTACCGAAAAAAAAAAACAAACAAAAAAAAACACGTTACTTTCAAAGTCACCAGTTACTTTTGTTAAATTCAGCGTCAGTTGTTTTGAACTCCTTATTTGATGTTTCAGCTGCGCTGGATACAGTTTTTCACTCCCTCCTCCTTGAAGCACCGCCCTCACTGCTCACTGGGTTCTCCTCCTAGAGCCCCTCCTCCTTATTCTCATCTTCCCAATATCTAACTATTAGACTCAGCTCATGGACTTCTTCTCTGTTTACGTCACTCCATTGGTATCTTCAGTCCTTCCTCTGGTTTAAATACCATCTACATTATGATGACTCCCAAAGTCCTATCTCCAGCTTAGATTTCTCTGGACCTCCAGACGGCCAACCCGGCAGCTCCACTTGGATGTCTAATAAGCATATCCCTTACTAGATCTCCCCAAGTCTCCCAGTCTCAGGAAATGACAACCCTACCCTTCCAGTGACTCAGGCCAAATATCTTAGAGACCAATTCTGCTAGCCCTTTCTTTGAAACAGATCCAGATTTTAATCACTTCTCCCCATCTCCACCACTACCACAAGATCCAAGCCATTTCTTGTCTGAAGACCGATCTCCTAACTGGTCTTCTAGCTTTAACTGCTTCCCCCCACCTTAACAGTGTTTTCTCAAGCCAGAAGACAGAACGATCCTGTTAAAATGTCAGATTATTCCAATCCCATGTTCAAAACATTCCTAAGTATTTCCATCTTGTTCAGAAAAAGAATGTAAACCTCTTACACATCCTGTAAAGAAGCTGCATGTTCTGGTCGGCTTCACCTCCCTGAACAGTCCCACCGGGCTCTCCCTTACCAGCTCTGCTCCAGCCCTGCTGTGCCCTTTGCTCTCCATTGAACATGCCAAACACACCCCAGCCTCAGGGCCCTTGCACTTCTGTTCCTCTGCCTGTAACATTCTTCACTTCCTTTATATCTCCACTCAAATGTCAACCAAAGAATCCTTCCCTGACATTTCTATCTTAATAACATTTCTCTGTCCCTTACCCTGCTTTGTTTTCCTTCATATCGTATATTACCATCTGCTGTTTCATATCTGGATGTTATATAATCCACATCCCCTGGTGAATGTAAGCTCCATGACATGTGGGACTTTGTTTTTATTATTATTGACCACTCTATCCCTAGAACCTGTAATAGATCTTGGCACATGGTGGTGGTTCAAATAAAATCAGTTGAATGAGTGAGTGAATGAAAGGAGGATATCATAGATAGTGGTATTTAAATATTTGGAAGTTTGTCATATTGGATAAAAAATAGACATACTTTCAATTGCTTTAAAGGCAATACTAGTACTCATTGCTTGAAGTTCAATGGTTTCAGCATTTTGCCTAGCGTGATAAGGGGCTTTCCAATAATTCTGGCTCTCCAGCACTGCACAGGCTGTCTTAAGATAAACTGAGATCCTTGTCCTTGGAAACCTTGGAGACAAACTGGAAGACCACTTGTGAAGGATGCTGTAAACATAAATGTCTGACTTTGGTGGAGGAATTCCACTTGCTGTTCCATGGGAATCTGAGTTGGGCCACGTCAGTGATTTTGTTTGTTTGTTTCCTTCCTATTTGTTGGAGAAACTGCTAGTTAAGGTGATGTCCTTGCCCTTAGGAATAAATACTTAGTCATTGCTTTGAATGGAAAATTCCATTTTACTGATGCCCACTCAACAAAATGTGTGTCTTTAGTACAAACTGTTAAGACCCTGAAACTGTGATCACTTGCTGCCCCCTTCTCCATATTTGGTCATGTTGCTGGGTCCATTCGAATCCTATAGATTGTATAGCGTAAAACAAAGACTTGATAGTTTTGGCTGTTCCTGCCAAGAGTAACTTCTGATTTCCTTTTAGATCGTGTCCTGATATGTCAGTGTGAACCATTTTTGAAAGAATTTGAGCAGAAACAGTTCATAATGTGTGTGATGTAACCATTTTTTGTTTCTGATCAAAGTCCTAGATTCTCCTTCTTCATATTATTATTATTTGGTAACGTGGGTATAATAAAAAGTATGATGCTTTGTGGGCCATTTCTCAACCCTGATGAAATTTGAAGCTTTCTTTTTGCAGTTTATTTTTAATAAACTTTTCCACCAGATTTTATGCAACATTGGAGGTATTTTACTAATAATGCCCCATAGTAACTTTCCAGTTATGAAAACAGAAGAATTATCTTGTGATCTTCTTGTGGACTGTGAATTTGTACATGGAATGAGCTGGTGGAGCTGAGGAATTAGGAGGTTATGTACTGTTATTTTTAGTACTCTATCACTTCACCCTTATTGCCAGAGTAATTCCTGGCTAACTTTCCCATGAGTTTTTAACCTCTTGCTGGGCTTATGTAACAGGAAACAGGCTGTCAGGAACAAATAGTGGCATATCAGGAGCGCCCTTTAGTAGCAAATGATTTAGTTTGCTCTGCCTTTCACTCTCTTAAAGTAGACTGATAAATGATCTCACTTTAAGTCTTTTGGTGAGGCATTAGGTTAAGATACTACAATTTCAATTTTGGAAAGGCAAAATATTTTACCAAGACCATGATTTAATCCAGGCGACAGAGAAGATGAGTCTGTTATAAGGTGAACTTTGCAGTGGTGTCATGTCCTGGGACTGTGGATTTAAGTATATCTTTGCTTTTTCTCCAACTCTTAAGGCTGGGATGATATGCAAACTTCAGGAGAGAGATGATATCGGGCGAATTGAACTGGTCCAGAAGCTGGCAAGAGAAAACTGTCAATTTTTGCAGACGGACAAAAAAGAACAGGAGAAGTCTGAACATGTAAGCCCTTTTCCTCTTGGGGATGCGGGTTTGAAGGGGTGGAAAATGTTTCTGCCTGCTTGTATGTTTGAAGGAAAGAATATTTTATTTTAAGTTCTTTAGGTTTGGGGTTTTTCACCCCCCCCCCCGCCAAAGCATGCTTCTTAGTAAAAAATGACAACTACTATAATTTTCTAAGCCAGTGGTTTTGTAAGAGATCTCTTCACAGAAGTAAATCATGTAGAAATATAAGAATGCATGGGAGCAAATATGTGGGAGCAAAGAATGCATGTCTATTTGATGGCTTTCAGGTTTGACTTGGGGAGTTTCACCCCATCAGATAGTTTGTGGAATATGAGTTTTGAGAGAACATTACGATGTACTTTTATATTTAGCACAGGGGGTGAATCTAGTTATCAGACAAATGCATCCTAAGTCACAAGAGACAGATAAGAATGGACGAACAGTTTCTAGATGCTCACACTAAGTGAGAGAGTCAGAAGGGAGTTTTCCCAGTATCTTGTGAGCGTTCGTGTTCCAACGAGAGTTATATTGTTTGGATGTAGCTCAACTGGAGGAAAGGGACGCTCTGCTCAGTTCTCCTGAAAGCAGTTATTCAGATTGAGCCTTAGAACTGAGAACGCTCCCGTCATGCTAGGGAGACAATGGGACCACTTTCTTCTGCTTTACATTGTTGTCTGTTGACTTCTTGCTGTTGTTTGTAAGGCTTCACTCTCCGTGCTAAGCTCTCCAGGATTGCTCATGAAGGGGAAAAATTCCTCAGTGTTTATGAACATCTCTTTTCTCTGACTTTAATTTTTTCTTGGAGTTTTATTTTCAACCCTTTCCAAGGGGGAAAAATATTGTTTCGTGCTTTTTCTGCTCCAAGGCCATCAGTAGAAAGGCCAGGGATTTACTGAGCTGGAGAGGAGGTGAGAAGTCCAAGGATGGCACGCTGTTTAGTTTGATGACGGTAACGCGTCTCTAACCATTCGGCAAGTCGTTAGCGTCGGTGTCTCAAGGGGGAGAATAATTAGCAGTTTCAAAGCCTTGTGATTGCAATGATCTTAGAGGTGACCATTGGCTTTAAGTGCGAGTGGAGGTCTCAGGAGCCTTCACCTCGGTAGGTACTACTGAAAAGTTAAGGGACTTGTTTGAATTGTTAAAAAGCACCCTGAAGGTTGACTGCATGTATATCTAAGACTGACCCCTAACTTCTTCTGCGTCCTTAGAATAGTTGAATATCCTGGTTCATGTCCTAAATTTCTCAAAACAATATTCCTTTCGATTCATTTTAATTAGAAGAGCAGTGGTTTTCATATGCTACATTTTATTGATTTCAAGGTGCACTTTCCTCACACATCTTAGCATGTCCGAAATCAGGATGAGTCTTAAAGTTGATGATAGGAAAACATGTCCTAGTTTAACTGGGAACATTTTTCTTTCTTAGTGGTCCTTAAAATGGATGACATAGTTTACAGTGGATTGCATACTCAATTCAGTGGATCAGTGACAACCTGAGGGGAGGGCGAGATCTTTTAAAATCAAACCAATAGGAGATAGAGTACCACTTGACCAAGATGAGAAATCATCAGCCTTAGGCCACAGACAGCTTTATGGTTATTAAAAAGGTACCTGTGTTGCCTTTGCCTTATTAGTTGAATCCAGAATATTATAGTTACAGCTAATGAGCGTATAATACACTCCAAATGTATAGTAACAGAAATCTGAACTCGCTGCTCTTTATTATAAGGACTTTTACCATGAGACGGAAATTTAGTGGTGGAAGGTTTGCTGACGGTTTGCTTACGTAACTCCGCTGGCGGTTGTGTACTTACTAGTCTCTTTACACCTTCATTTTAAGATTGTAAAAGAGAACACTAAGGTTTTTTACTTCTTGCATCAATGTCATAATATTGATGCAATAACAGCTCTGAAGTGTGTACATTTCTGAGAGGAAAGATGATGTATCAATAAATATTGGAATGATGGCCTTTTCTGTGTAGGCTTTTCCTACTGAAGCTGAAAGTCAGGAAAGGTGACTATGAAGGATCTTTCTTCCTTAGTGATAAATACAAACTTAGCCATTTTGTGGTCCCCCTCCTGCAGGGTGACACCGTCTGAACTGATCAACCCTCAAGGCTGAGACTTCCATAGTACTCTACCAAACAGGATATTTGATACTAGGTGCTTCTACGTTTTACAATAATTTATAAGGAATAAAAATCATCTGGTAGCTTTTTTCACTCTTTTATGTCTTAAGCACTCATTATAAAGGCACCTTTGCTTGCCCACTGATTTCACAGTGTCCATGAGATGATTGCAGCATTTTCATTTTTCCTGCCCTCATTTTCTCTTTGATAGCAGTCATCTGTTCTTGTTCATGAAAACTCAGTTATAACACACAGAATATACAGAGGAAATTGCAGTTTACTTAATGTAAACCCGGTCTGCAGTTTCCTATTCTTATAACAATAACGACCGAACCCTAGAGTTACATACAGATTTCCTTTCTTTTGTGATTCTCAAGTGCGTCAACTACCTCATCTACCATTCCTGGGCCAAAATTATTTAAGTGCACAGTGGTAAAATTTGAGTTAGAATCCCAGTTGCCTATTGAGCCATTCTTTTCACTAAATGACTTTGTTTCTCCAGTCCTAGAATGTCACATCCCCTTTTGTACATGTATGCGAAAATGAGACAACTATTTTGAGGTACTACTACTGCATAGAGATAGACATGAATTTGATGGAATAAAGCTTTTGTTGCTGGTACATCTTGTTACAAATTGAAGGGGCTTCGAGATTTCTGAGTGGGCATAGCTAATATCTTTTTCAACTGGTAAACGCCATGAGTAGGTTATAAATGGATGCAATTAGAGAAACACTTGACTCTGTGCTTTTGCCAAGGGGCTTCTGAAACTTAAAAAAAGTTAAATGTATAATTATCACAAGTTTCTCAGCAAGCACTTAGTTTTCCTATTTCATATTAACAAGCTGTAGGCAAAATTAGCCAGCGCTCATTCCTAAGTGTTGAAAATTATGTGAGAACTTTAAGAAGGGGACAGAAATGGCTGTTTCTTATAAACATTATGAGAGTGAGATTAACATGTGGCCATTAATTCTCTAAAGAAATTGCCTCTTATGTGGGCATCATATTTCCTAGGCTTAATTCTATGATTATATCCATAGAGGAAGGGGCACGTGTTACCAAATGGGGACTTTTGAGCTTGAGCTTGAAGAATGACTAATGGTCATAGAAGGGCCGGACAAGGGAGAGCAGTTTAGGCAGAGGGACCAGCAGGAAGGCACATGAGTTGAGCCCTGGGCAATTCTTGGGAAATGAGGTGGGGTGAGGTGGGCTGTAAGTTGTGAAAGACCTGGCAGTCCACTCTAAGGAGTTTAGACTTGCCTTTCTGGTAAAGGAAAGCCATCAAAGAAGGGAAGTGGCATAATCAGATGTGGTCTGTTTAAGATCTCTCTGGCATTGGTTTAGAGGAAAAATTGAGTGGGGAACAGGGAAGTGTTGGAGAGAACCCTTAGAGAGCTATTGTTGTGAGTCAGGTACGAGATGTAAGCCTGAAGCAGGGTGGCAGCTCTGGGAAATGAGAAGACCACAGATGTTGAGTCGTTTAGATGGTAAAATTGGCAGAATTTGATAATTCTGCCAATTATCAATGGGGGATAATGGGGGAATGTGTGTGCTAATTTATACTAAGCAGTTTTTGAATTTGTTATTACGGTTTCCTGGTACAGACATGAGAAAGTTCTGTTTATCACCAGAGTGGTTGGTCACCTTTGCCAAAAAGCTACATAGACATTTACCTTGTTTTGTTGTCCTGCAGTGTGTTTCAAGTGTCTGAGATTTATTGCTACAGAACACTGTTTATCTCGTTAACAAATTGTTTGATGGAGTTTCTGGCTAACAGTATGGAGACTACTTCTTCTGAGACCCAGATACTTGGACAATACCTTAAGCACAGAGAATCTCTGGTAACCTCAAAATGAACTAAATTATTTGGCCAAAGCTTTGGCATTGGCTGCAATGATGTGTGTGCCTCCTTCAGAACTAACTGTGATTTTAGAGATGCTCTCCTAACCCATAGTCTGAGTTGGTGTTTCTATACTGTTATTCTAGAATACTCTTGGTCGTTTATTCATTCAGTACACCTTTATTGAAGCTGATGTTGTAGGGGATCCAGAAAAACCATGGTGGTTCCTACCTGAAGGAGTATAAGTCAGGTTGTGGAGAAAAGATACTGACACAAATAACAGCAATACAAGGAGGCAGTGGTGATAATCCCCAGAGAGATACATGGGTGTCAGAGGAAGAAATTACACCTGGGGAAACAGGATTCTTTCTCATGGCAGTGGTTGAGTTTGATGTGGACCTTAAAGTAGGTTTTAGGTTGGATTTAAACAATCCAAACTGAAGAAGAGCATTCCTGGAGGAAAGAATAGCATTAGAAAATGCACAGAAATATCTAAAAATACAAGGTATTTTTTGGAAAGCGAAACCATTCTGTCACCAGGGTACCAAGAATGGGGGTAAGGGAGATGGTGACAAGGATTCAGGAGATGGAAAAGTTAGTGAGAAATGAGATTGGGACCAGACTGTGGAGGATTTTGAGGGCTGAGACGTTTCACTTCATTCTAGAAATAATGAAGAGGCATTGACTTGTTTTGTTAGTTTTCATAAGAAAGTAGGATGAGGGGGCCCTTCTGTGAGGTAAACGATATTATTTCAGTGTGATGAGTCAGAAAGCTGAGGCTGGTGAGTGATTAAGCAGAGCTGGGGTAAGTGTGAACTCAAGTCTGACTGCCCCTGGGTGGCATCTTCTCTCAGCTGTCATCACCGGAGGGAGGCCTGGTAGGAGGACAGGAAGCTGAGATGACAAGAATCATGATAGTCCTGAGAAAGAGGCACCACTAGGAGGACAGCCCTGAAGGAAAGACAGACGGCTACATGTTGAAGGGATGGTGGTGGTGAAGTGTGGGAAGGAAAAATGAAAAGGGAATGCT